TATATAAAAAAGTTTAGCTTTGTGAAGATTTGTAAAACTCAAACATATGTTGACATTTCTATATTTTTATAATAGTAGTAATCAATTCTGATGTGGAAAAAAACCTCTGAAGTTGTATGGAGATATAATATCAACTGATTTTATAAAAACATGATTGTTGAATTTGTATGTAGATTTTTGTTTATAAAGTGACAATTTCTGCACTGTATGCCTTGACTGGCAATAATTGGGTTAAGTATTTATTGAATAAACAATCCATGCTGCATATTGCACTAGTCTCCCAATCTGTACATTGTAACAATATAAGACTTATTTTAAAGAAATTAAAGCTATTTAGATTTATAATCTTCATTTCAGTGCCCAATTATCTGAATGCAATTAATATGAGACATACTACATGGACAGTCTGTATACGTTACTTCAAGTGAAAATTGTTAAAATAGGTTTACATTGGAGTAAGAGATACTGTCTTTTGTTTTGAATTGAAAAATAACCTCTTTAAAAAGTGCTAAGGAATAAAGTTGACATTCTTTGAACTATTTTTAAACAGGGAATACACTTTCTGGATTAGAGTGTAAGGGCCAGGAGAAATCTTCAAAATTACTAGAAAAGCAATAAATGGTGGTATGTACTCAAAATGATAGCTAGAATATATTGTAGTATATTCTTATTCCTTGGCAGGAAGCTGACTTATAGAATTGAGGAAAAATTGACTGTTCAGAGATGGCATTTTCAAGCAACAAATCTTAGCCTTGTAATTTTAGTACTTGTAAAACTATTTTTATTTTTAAAATGGAGACTGTATTTACATTTTTTGGGGGAAAAAAATCATCAGAATCCCTTGTGTATATCTGTACTAATGATTAAGTTTAGCTTCCTTTTTTCTTAAGCTGTCGCATACACAATTAATACTTACTTGTCGTGCTTCAGAATTCAATTCTTTTGTGTACTTTTACAGTTTGTTTGTATGGTGTACTTAAGTTTTCAGCACTTCTTTTCCTGAGATGAAATCTTTACATTTCTACTTGTATTTCTGCAGTATTGTCTTGCATCTACTCAAAATCCGTAGTAACCTGTGAATTAAATTTGCACTGTACTGCACTGATTCCTGAAGCTGTAACCAAACTAACATCTGTGTCTGTGGTTGTACTAGTGGTGGGGAATATCACCGTTTCATCTGAAGCTGCTTTTGGGAAGATATAAAAGTAGCTGTGATTTTTGGTAATATGCATACCCCATTGTGGTGTTGCTTTAAAAAAAGTGTAAAATTAATCTTTTTCTTGTATTTTCAGATTCTTGAAAGGGCTTGATGCATCATTTGTAATCTTGTTTTGTCATGTTTACTAATTTTACCTACAAATATATGGTGTAGCTCCAAGTTCATATGTATTTTACTTCTTTGATCACAGATCTTCAGGATGCATTTGATGCAACAGTGGCTTGAAACAGATAGTGGAGTATCATGAGACAGTAGTCATAATTTTATAAAGATTACAAATATAAGGTAATATCAAACATTCAGTTTTAGGAGTGGGCAAATTTAATTAACTTGGTGGGGGAAGCATGCAAATACCAGGTATCAGAATAATCATGCTTGTAGATTCATACATGATCTAATAATCTAATGAGAGTTGTATTATTAACTACATTAGGCTGGTCCAGATATGGACGCAGTACAGCAAAAATGAAATCTTGTCAGAATGAAAATGTCAGTATAAGAAGCAAAACCTAAATCCCTGCCTCATCCCCCACATGAGCCTATGTTGCTATATTTCAGTATGAGAAATTAAAGTTTTATAACTTCAGATTTCACCCAGGGGGTCTCTAGTTATGATCAGTAAAATGAATTTCAATAGCAGCAGATGAAATTAAATGTAAAAATGGAACACAACCACCTGCGTCATGCACACTTTTCCTTCTTTCTCTCATTATTCACCTACAGTACTACATACAGTAAATGTCTTATGTAAAAACCCACATTTGCATCTGTGTCTATCCTATGCCATTGTGGGTTGATTGCAATGGAGGAAGAGGGTAAAGGTAAGCAATTTTCTTTGAAGGACCAATTATAACATATAAAATAAATGAATATTGGAATCTATAGAAGAGTGGTATGCTCCAAAATATAACAGTACCATCAGCTCTGGTTACATTTAAAAAAAAAAACAAAACAGGCATAAAGGAAAGCAAAATCCATTGTGCCATGCTTAGACCACACAGGAATGGTGTCTGTACTGGGGATTTTCAAAGATGTGGACAGGGAAGCTAAAAACTTCTCAATAAGCCTTGTAAGTCAGGGGAAGCTGCAGATAAACACAGTGCTAACAATTTTAAAGCTGATACTGGCATGCTGTATTACTTTCACAAGCATCATAGCATTACTGCTAAAATACTTTATGGGGGGTGGGTCTATAGATACCACCTCTTCCTAGCAAGCGACTGAACAGCAAAGCATTAAAAAATTACTTACGCTGATTTATATAATGCAGATGAGGTTGGTCTTTCTATTGTGCATCAGCATAAAGAATTCTAGCTGGAAGGGTTGATTACTGTTGGGGGTAGTGGGAGGAAGGGGTGAAAACAGCAGTTATCACTACCATTGTGTAATGCAAGTGGCACAGGTAAATGGAAGTTATTAATAACTGGCAAGTACAAAAGGCCTAGGCACTTTGAAAACATGAACAGTTGCTTTGTAATTACTGGTCTAACACATTGACATAAATGACTGTAGAGGTGTTCAAAGATGGGCTTCTCAGTCTTGGCTCCTGGATGAAAGGCAGAAAAATTGCTTTGTCTATGAATAACTGTTCTGCCCATAACTGTTTCCAAAGACATTAGGAAAAAGTGATGGATAGAGTTTTTTTCATCCAACTGTTTGTATCTCTGTGTTGCAGCCACTAGGTAAAGGAATCATTCACGCTACCAAGACAAATTACAGATCAAGAATGATTTGAGAGCATTTTATTAAACTTGGAAGTGAACAAATTTCTCGCACATGTTCTATATTACAATGCAAATGGCAGAAGTTGCCTGGAGAAACATGTTAACTGGTTTTATTGCCTGCCTTGATTCTGCAGTCGGTATATCACCACTGGAACCTCAGCAATAAGATGACAAACCATGGCCAAAATGAAGGTGTGATGGTCCTATTATGCACTAAAAAGGAGATGGAGGTTTTTGAGAGAACTAACACTCAGATTACATCAACATGGGTAATGATACTCAGGCATAAGAGACGTCCAATGATGCTATTATTGACAAAATTATAGGCGTGAAAACCCAGAATGGAGGAGAAAAGGAAGGTAGAAGCAGCAAATGATATGGAAGCATCTGCATCTTGGTTTTCAACATTGTAGTTAACACCGAGGTACCTTTTATTGCGCTGATATCCCTGACAACCTCTTTGAGTGCACAAGTGCGCTACAACCTTACTTATATGTGCATGTACAGATAATAACATGGCTGTGTGGAAGATAACCAATTTCATCCACCTGAATAAGTTGCATAGTATTACTATAGCACTGGATTTTGTATTAAAATAATATAGTAAGTAAATTAGGCAGTTTGTTTCTGATTTGGTTTCATGTTGGATTCCTGTGCATTCGCTGTGACCTTCCTTGGGCAACTGTGAACCATCTTGCGCTCCAGGGGCCACGCCCCCATGAGCATAAACATTTGGTTCCCTGGGGACAACTAGTAGTGGTGCACCTTGTGCTGCCGCTAGTCCCTGGGGAATGCCTATGCCACGCACCCTCTGCCATGTGGAAAGTTACCCTGGGTGGAGTAGAGGATGTTGGGGCCAGCACTGGGCTGGCTCCAGCAGCCTTATCAAGTGTCCTGGGGGCTTCCTGGGGCTGCAGCAGTGACCATCTTGCTGCTTGGAGCCTGGCCAGCAGCTGAAGCATGGCTCTGGCTGGTCCGGCTCTGGTTTTGAGCAGCGTACATTGCCCCCATGTATGCTGCTCTGCTTTATTTTTTTGTGGGTGTTTTTTTTTTTGAC